CCATGGTCTTATTATTTATGGACCTGGCATTACACAAAACTAGTGACGGAGAGGTGTTGTTAATCCGAGCCCCACTGCCAACTACCTTTGGGATGGGACATAGGCTGGAAGGGGACCAAGCCTTTCTGTTTCTTAGTCGCTTTCCCTTATATTTATGCCTAGTCCCACCGCTATACTTTCCCCTCCTCAGGAGCACTGGTATCCCTTGGCCAGCCATCACCACTAATAGTCTTTGCTAAGGCACAGACCACTAGTAGCCTGGTAGGTGGGAATGTAGGGGTTCTATAGCAGTTCTCTCTGCTGTAGTAGTTGTCCTAGATAAACTCAAACAAGCCTAATTTATCCTTACATTAATTAATTCTAATAGTCTAACAATTTGGTACAAAAATCACTCTCATGCACTGATCAGTAAAAAAGTAAAGGCCAGTGATGACATCCCAGTTTGCCCTATAGCTCTAACTATAAGTTCAACTTCCCAATTTGTTAGATATCAATTACACACAAAAACAACCCGTAGGATAATTAGTCCCTCGGATTCAGTTGATTAATCCCATACAATTCATTCCTTTGCTTTAATCTGGTAGGATTTTAAATCTCTATCATCCCTTCAATTAATTTCTCCCACATTTAGCCCTTAATCAATTGCAATAATTACCCTAATATAGTTGCCTCCAACTAACATCAACGTCAAATTAATTTTGGTCTAACTTTCTAGGCATCCTAACTCCAATATCTTGGTAGCCGCTTGTCACCTTCTCTACTCTACATGTGCACTCCAGTGCAGAGTCTCTGGTTGCTTTCCTGCGCTGTGGTGAGAGAGTTCCTGAAGTCCTGAAAGTCTTCCTCGGTTGTGGTCTCCCCTGTCGCTTCTCCAAAACGCCCAGTGGCCCCTGGTCCTGGTTCCTGCCCGCCAAGGCCCTGGTAGATCTTGCTGCCAGCTGGTTGGTAACCTTTGCATCCAACTAAGTTGTGTGTGGCTGGGCTAATCCCCAGGAAGAGGGGGAACCTCTCATGAGCCCCCCAGCCTACCATCCTGCTCCGCCAGCCGGGAAGCATGCACCACCACGCCCGCGACAATGACTCACAGTAGGCAGGCAAGCAGCAAGAGTGGTCAAAAATGGAGAACAAGGGCAGGCATGGCTGCATCAGCAAGCGGCCACAGCGTCCCAGGATGGGCACAGCATGGCGGCTGTGGCTGCTACCGTGGCTAGCGAGTGAACTGAAGAGAAACCAGTGGCTGCCACCCAGCCACCGCTGCCATGCTCACCTAGCAAGTCTGAACAGCCACCCCGCTGGGGCTGGAAGGATGTCACCTCGCTGGGACAGGGAAGGCTGCTGCTGCTGCGAGCAAGCGAGCGAACCGAGGCAAAGCCAGCGGCTGTTGCTCACTCAGCTGCCGCCGGCACGCTCACCTGGCAAGTCTGAGGAGCCGCCCCACAGAGTGCTCAAAGCTGGGCCGGTTCCAGTCGCCACAAGATGCCAGGGGACCCTGCGCTGTGCACCTGCCGGGACAAGGAAGGTGTCAGTCTGTAAGTTTTCAGTCTCTGAGCTCGCTTTCCTGTAGTGCAGGTGGAGGTTAGCAGCTAGCGGCTAGCGAAGAACTGCTCGATTTTGCTGTTTTGGGGCAGAGCCTCTAGCACTAGGCTCCACTATGTGTTTGTCTACAAAAGTATAGTCCTCCTCAGTGGTCAGTATCAGCCTACTATCTGAGAAGTCTAAGTTCAAAATTTCCAAACAAAATGTGCTGGGTGAACTTGGTCTAAACACACACTCTCAGCCTAATACACCTCACTGGCTTGTGGTTATTCCTCATCTAAATAGTTCACATTGCTTTCCTACTGGGGATCATGAGGGTGTGAATACAGTGAAAAGGGGGAGGGAACCCAGTTGCACCCAGGAGAGCTGCAGCATAACAAGCCCAACAAAACACACACAGTGTAGCAAGACACTCAAAATCTCATCCCTTGGATAAAACTTTGTTGATCTTAAAGGTGCTTTGTATTTCTCCTGGGCGATTGAGGCAGCAAATCAGAGCAAGCTCTCCCTCCCTCCTTTCCTTCCTCCCTTTGGGGAGGAACCTCAGCCAGTGGAGGGGAGGAAAAGTGTTCCTTTGTCTCCTGTGCGATTGAGGCAGTCTGGCCAGGAAACAAACTCTGGCTCATTCTCTCTCCCCCTGGGAGGGGAGGGGGGCGTCAGTCCTTGCAGGGAACAGAAGTTTGTATATCTATCTCTCCTGAGCGATTGAGAGAATCTGGCAAAGCAAGCTAGATGCAGAAGCAGCAGAACTGGAAGAAGAAGCAGGAGACAGCCAGTTCTACTGCAGGCCTGGTAGGAGCCCTCCGGGGGCCTGATCTGGCCCGCGGGCCACATGTTTGACACTCCGCTATAAACTCTCATTAGCATGAACAGAAAGAAAAAGACAGGCAATATGCCTTCATATGGTGAAGTTAATCATGTATGACTGCTATTGTGTATGGTCTCTGTATTTTCTTTAATTACTTTTGAATTTGACATAATTTAATCTTGCTCTGTAGTTCTTGCATTGCGTGCTCCTTTAACCCTTCTGTTTATAAAATTTTTCTTCACCACCTCATATATAAATGTTTGCCTTGTGAGAAACACTGCAAGCCTTTGACAAACACTGCATGCTTTTGACAAGTGGGCTCGAGACCACAACGGCGCATGTTAAAATAAAAATGTTTTGTTCTGAAAGCCAGTTTGGTGTAGTGGTTAGGAGCGTGGACTGTAATCTGGGAGAACTGGGTTTGATTCCCCACTCCTCCACATGTGGCTGCTCCTGCTGGTATGACCTTGGGTCAATGACAAGTTCTTTCAGAGCTATTCTCTCACAAGCAGTTCTCGAAAGAGCTCTCTCAGCCCCACCTACCTCACAGGGTGTCTGTTGTGGGGAGGGGAGGGGAAAGGAGATTGTAAGCCACTCTGAGACTCCTTTGGGTAGTGAAGGGCGGGGTATAAATCCAATCTCTTCTTCTTCCTCTTCATTAAGGAGCAACAAGACGTCGGATTATTTTAGTGGCAACACACTAAGATCGCTGCCTCTGTAAAATTATAAGCGTGTATTTGAATTATTGAAAACTTCTGAAAATATGACATTTCATGGTTGTACCTCATTTGTTTATGAGATGGCTATATTATTAATCTTAGATTTATTAGATAAAAAGTGAGCTCCAAAGTACAAAAGCTCATGTTGAAATTAATGTTATTAATTGTTAAGGTGCCACTGGACTGTCATTTTATTTTGCTACAAAAGACTATCATGCCTATCACTTTATAATTATAAAGACCTAAATCTAGGTTTAGGAAGACCTAGATTTTGCCTGAAATAATAACAAAAGTTTTTAGGATGTAGGACCATAGAAAGTAAAACAGGATAACATGTGTAGCTTGGTTACACCAATAGCAATGGTAATTCTTTAATCATTGTTTTTTGGGTATATTTGTGTTTGAGAATTGAAGACAATATTAAGAATCAGTTTTGTGCTGCAGCTGTTTTAAAGAAACTTTACTATATTTCTACATATAGTTATTAAATATTACAAAGCAAGTTACTGCAAGCTAATATGAAATAGTAATTTGCTTCCATTGATTTAAAACCATCTACACTTAATACAACAGCTGTTCTATATTTATTGAGCACCTGTTGCTTTCAGATGTCATAAAACATGGATGTCTGTCCTCTGAAATTGGAATTTGTGGCATGCCTAGATAGTAGCTGGAATACAAGATATGTCATACAACCTGTCCCAGTGATCATCTGTGAATGAGATGAGTTTGCTGGTGTCAACTTCCTTGTTTATGAAAACACTTTTCCCTCAAAGCTTTTCTCTATCTCACTGAAGTGGGAAGTATTTCAGAAGAACCACTGAGGCTTCATTTTGGGGTCTTAATTGCGCACCTATTCAGAAGCTGCTACCCGTATCAGAGGAGGATATTGGAACCTCACAACATTTTGTAATTGCCCTCCCCATGGCAGCTATGTTTGGTAGTACCTGTCAAGATACATCACAGTAGGGAGGGGCTTTAATGTGCATGTGTGCGTCTAGGACAGCACTTCCCTACTTCTTTCTCCTGGCCCAAATCATCTTTGGATTGTCACCACCCAAACTGAGCTTTGACCTGTCTTGTTTACCAGTGGTTTGAGGCACTGGTAAAAGGCTCTCTATGCATGTTTAGAGTACAGAGACCCTCAACTCCCATTTTATGGCCCTTCTCCCTGAGAAAGATCATTATTCCCAGAGCTTTGGAACCCCTGGATGTAAGGATCAAAACATCTTGCATCTCCTGGACATGACTGAGCAGACTAACTTCCTCAAAATTCCTGATGTGCCCTCAGGATCAACTAGGATGAGGACTGCTGATCTACCCTGTGCTCCTGCTTCCCTTTCCTGTGCTGCACTTGTTTGCTTGTTTTGTGCTCAATAGATTAGAGACAAAACATAGGCTTGCCAACCTCATATGGGGCCTGACATTCCATCTGACTTCCACACTACCAAAACCAGTTCCTTTGGCAGAAATGGCTACTTCAAAGGACAGACAACACTGCAGAGCATTCTTCCTTCCCTAAATTCCACCCTTTCCAGGCATTACCTCGCCACACAATCTCCAGGAAATTGCCTAAACCAGAACTGACAACTCTAACATGACTATATCAATTCACAAGGTGCTGAATATGTGCTGCAGCAGCAAACAACAGGTGTTACTGCCTTGTGCTTTGGGACATGACTTGCCACATACCTGCCAAAACAACTGATCACCATTTTTGAAAGGGTTGACTATTTAATATTGTGAAAGTTTGAGAACATTTAACATGTTGCTTTTCACATAGACGTTAGGCATGAATTCACACAAACTGAAAAAATGTAACTATTTCAAAAACGATCCCCATAAAATTATAGAAAGCAATAATTAGTATATCCTAAGCATAGAAGACTAGTTGTCATAAAATGCAATTAAAACTAAACAACTTCCCTCTCCCCCAGGTCCGCACCAGCCTCCTAGCAGAACACAAAGAACCAAGGACAGATATTGGGGTAAGACAATCAAACTGATGGACTAAATAGAATATTTTTGAAGAAATATGACTGTGAAAGGTCTAGCTAATATTTGAAGATAACACAATTGTTAGCATTTTTAAAACTTCCTTGTAAATAGAAATTATGCAAACTGCCTCTCTATCCAATAAACTAAATAGTCCACCACACTAGCTCTTGGTAATAGAGCAAGCTCAGTGCCTTGTAAAGAGGCTATAATAGCAAAGCCCTCCTTGATCCATTGTTTTATAAACCTGTATCAATAAAGAGAAGCTGTCAAATCACGTACAGACCTTGATTTCATAAACATGAGTGTCCAAGTGTCAGTCCTTGTAAATGCAGTTCTCAATGTAATTATCTTATTTTCCTGTGGCCTTAAAGTAACTTGACTGAAGTGGTTGTCAAATATAAAATGACCTTCCTTTGCCAAAATGTTTACTTCCTTATTGTAATAGCCAATTCATACTTTCTGAAGCAGAAACTGGGTATGTCTGTACATTCTACAGTGCAATCGTATGTAGAATTATTTCATTCTAATCCCCCTGGCTTCAGTAAGGCTAGATCAGAGTAACACTGCATAGGATTGCTCTGTTAAGCATATAAGAAACCATAGTTATAGAATCTTTTGGGCATATTGATTTAAAAAGTCTAGTTTTAAAGGAAACAAAACCAGTTCATCTCACTGTGAGTCTTTTATTTGTTTATTGAGTTTATAACCTACCCTTGCTGCAAGCATTACACAGTCCCCTCCTACAATTTTATTTTCACAACAATCTTGTGAACTAGGTTAATCTGTGAAAGAATAACTGGGCCAGGGTCACCCAGTGAACATAATCATCTGAACCCAGGGTTCCTGGTTTAGTGTGATATTCTAACCATTACATCCTAAATTTGGTTCAGCTTTGTAGAAGCTGATTTGGCCAGTGGTCAGAAGGTAAAACTTCTCTTGAATGGAAAGTGTTTACCCTTACATGAGGAATTTGCGTCCATCATGAATATAGGAGTGTGATAGTTTAGTAACTAGCTAATATTGTAGGGCTAGTTTATGGTAACATGTTGCACATACCGTTATACCTTTTGATGTTTGGGCGTTTGAAACCATAAGAATATCCTCTCTATGACGAGTGTGATTTCAAACCCCACTAGGGTTGCCAGGTGCCTTCCTCCTGCCGGCAAGGAAATTTTGGGACTGTTCCAGGAGCCATTGCCTTTTTCTGATTTAAAATAAGATCATCACTAGATCAAGGACTTTATAACCAAACCCACAAAAAATTATTGGTGACTTTTCCAGGTGGGAAAAACAAGATATCTTTGGTCTTGTACTTTAAACAATTTACCTGGTGCAAATGGCTGCCATTGATATAGAGGCATAGAAGAATATAGGTCAACAAAAGGCCTGTAGCTACAGTGGGGCATCTCGGGGTCGGGCCCCCCAACTTACCACCCAGGCCTCCCGACTTCCCATCCAACCGGTTTATTTTATTTTTTGTGTGCCACAGCTGCACCAAGCTGAGCCGTCACCCTGCCCTGCTTGCTAGCAGTGTACCTCTGGCTGGCTGAAGGAGAGGCATGCCACAGGGCACGTCTGATCCCTACTCCAACTCTCTCTCTCTCTCTCTCTCTCTCTCTCTCTCTCTCTCTCTCTCTGATCGCTTAAAAGAAACTTTTACTCTCTTGTCGTTCCTGGCACAGTGCCCCCCAACTTATTTAAATGCCCCATGAAGTCAAAAATCCTGGCTACGGTCTTGTCCTTATATATATATTCTCACCAAGAAGGGCTATACATCTTTATTTTAGTATATTTCTTTCTTAGAATAGTATATTGGAATAATGATTGTAATGTAATGCAATAAAATTGGAATGTATTTCCCTGGCAGAGGAGACATAACACTGCACAGCCATTCACTCCACCTCCTGTTACCTCCATGCTTGAGAGGAGACAACTGTAGTGTAACAACCAGGTCTCAGTTATTTGATCTTAATATTCCACAATTAAGAAGCATACATTTACATATCAGTCTCCAAGACTGACATATTTATTTGATTCTCTGTGTTTTCCCATGGAATTGATTCCAAACAAATGATGACCATATGAACTTAATTTGTTATCTTTGTTTGGTTTTTGCATCTGTTAAAACATCTTCATTATGTTAAATGGTAACCATATAAACTAAGCTTGCTATTCCTAATTCTGGGTATGGTCACATGGCAAGCTTACCATGATTTGTTCCCGCTGTAGATTTGACCGGGAATATTTTTTTCGGGTTGGGATGACCACACATCCCTCCCTGAACTGCTTGCATCATGCAATGAGGCTTCGGGCACCATTCAGATAGCCACACCGCTGCTTGGGCAGCATGGCTTGTTTTTTTTTTTGTTTTTTTTAAAAAATTGGCTTTGCACATGTACATATACACATGGGCGAATCACCACTCCCACCAGGACTTGCGGTACTCCCTTGTTCTTGCAGGTTCCCCCTCCCAACAAGAAACAAAATTAACCGGCGATGTACAACTGAGCACTGGAGTCTATATGTGCGTTTGAACACTTATATATTGAATTTATTCAGTGCAGGATTGCTCATGCGCACAACAATGGAAGCTTGTAAAAAAAACACATCGTGAAAAGGACATTCAGATGACCTAATTGCGATCATTACAAGAGATGACTGTCCAAATCAGCAAAATCGCAGATTCAAAGCGCATATATCTGGAAAGTACTTGATTTTCTGGGTGTAGGAAAACTTGCTAGGGAACAGAAGATTGCGCGAGTGAGCCCACTTTGTTGTGGGAGACGGATGCGGCTGTCTGATCAACAATTTTAAATGCGAGAGGGAACAGCAGTGAAACCCGATCAAAATGACCGTGTGACTACGGGCTCTGATAAATACCTTCATTATTTTGTATGTTAATTTACTGCTCAACCTCTGCATATATATATGGACCGATAGGTTCCATTTCACTTTATCTGAGGAAATGTGTATGCACTTGAAAGCTCATACCTTGAATAAAACTTTGTTGGTCTTAAACTGGACTCAAACTTTGTTCAGTATAACAGGATGTATCCATTTGGCTTCCTTTGCACTGCCATGAAATTGATTTTTCTCATAGGGAAATAAATGCTTAAAACATGATGTACTGGGGAAAATGTAACATATTCTATTAATATCTTGCTTTAAGTGCTACATAAATATAGGTTGTGCAAGCAAATATTCTATTTGGCATATAAAGATGACATTGCCTCCAGGTTTAAGAAATTATTGTAGCAAGAACAACAATGGTAAAAATTCTACAGATTTAACATGACATGATAGAAAAGGATGACTGAAGCTTCACACTAAACAAACAAAAAAACACCTGCAGCTGTAGATTTCCAGCATGCTATTTGTCAGGTTGTCATTCTGTTTTTTTTTTTTTTAATGAAAAAGAGGTTCCTGCACTAGCTTTACAAATTATTGATAACTAGGAAAAAGGCCCGTTGTGGAAATAAATACAACAGCCTCTAGAAAGAGGCGGGTGCCCCAGCCTTGGACACTCAGTGTCATTTTGCTGTGGCGACCCCAGCAGGGTATAATGACACTGAGTCCACCATTTTCTCCAGAGGAACTGATCTCTGCTACCTAAAGAACAGTTGTAATTTTGAGTGCTCTCCAGCCCTCACCTGGAGATTGACAATGATGGTTCCCCAGAAGGGAATGGTTGGTTTGGAGGGTGGAGTCTATGGCTCTGTACCTGTCCGAGGTCCCACGCCTCCTGAAACCTCACCCTCTCCAGGCTCCATCCCTCACATCTCCAGGAATTTCCCACCTGAAGTTGGCAACCCTATCTCCTTCCCAGTCAATCATCAACCTACCTTTATTTTCCCCTCACTCTTCAGCTTTCCATCCCCCACACACCTGCAGCCTCTCCCGTGCTCTGAAGCCCTGACTGCTGCATCTCATTGGCTGTCATATGGGGGCTACCTCAGCAGCATATAAGGATACAGAGCCCACCATTTTCTCCAGGGGAACTGATCTCTGCCATCTGGAAAGCAGTTGTAATTCTGAGGGATCTCCAGCCCTCACCTGGAGATTGGACACATTTTACCTCAGAACAGCAAACTGTTTAGAATGTTAGAGGCAAAAGCCAATCAAGTTGCATATGCAAACGGCCTCTGTGTTCCGAGGCAAAGGCCAATGAGGCTGTATATGCAAATAACCTCTGTGTTCTGACTGGCTATGGGGGGAGAGGAACAGCAAACTGTTTAGAATGTTGGAGGCGAGACTCAAGCAATGCAGCCAGTGGATAGGGACAGATTCTGAGTGACACACCAGGGTGCCAACCAATTTCGGAGCGTGTGGAATGTTCTAGAGAAGTGCCACCACCATTCGGCTTTTATTTATAAGGGAGATGGTGTCACTGATCTATGAAGGCATTCAACAGGATAAGAGATCAAGAATACTTATTTAATATTTATGTTGTGCTAACATAAAATTTGCAGGTGTGAAGTTAAACAGAAACTGTTAAAATCCAGAAATCTAATGAAAGTATATCCTACCTCCCCACCCATCTATCTTCTGCTTTTTTATTCCCTTTGATTTCTAGCGAAGTTTTCTGGGTTGTACAACCTTTAAAGTAGGCGAGCTGGTGAAATCCAAGGAGCAACAGTTGAGTCTCAGCCTGAGGTAGGTTCTTTTTTCCCCTTGTGTTGATTACAAACTCTGTCAGATCAACAATCAATGCCATTTAAAGACTCAGTTGTATTTTGAAAGTCAAAATTGCTGTCATTTATCAGATGACCAGTTCATGTGCTAACATTATCAACAGTGCACAAAGCTAAAGAGTGCACAAAGAGTGTTTAAGACTATTTGGACCATTGTTAGCGGCAGTGCATTTCACTTTGTTTCTATCCCTCACTGGTCCAGTATAGAAGTGATGCAGATGATCAGTAAGGCTGATGATTAGATGTGGTTAATACAGACGAACAAGCAGGGAACCATGAGAAACTCATAGGGAAATTCCCGCACTGCCCTCCGACTTCTGACATCTACCCCAGGCCATCTTTCGATACCCTTTCCTCCTACTGCCACCTCCTTTTGCCATCTTTTTCCTTCCATACCCTACTTCTTCTCCCCCCTTACCCCCACAGACACCCCCACCTCCCTCTTGTCCTCCCATTGGCATCTATTTCCTTAGTCTGTTCTCTCCTTCTCGCCACTCTGAGCACCCACCCTTCCTTTCAACTCCGCTTTGCCTGTCTTTCGGTCCACCCCCTTCATCAGCGCTCTGACTCAGAGATAACATCTCAGGTAGTATGTGGACCAGGGTGCTGCCTAATCATCCTTGATGTGCAGGGCCTGAGGAAGAACAGAGTGCTGCCTATGCTTCCGAGCTAATCTAAAAACTACCTGACTCTGCGTCAGCATTGAGGGCACTGAATATTTTTTCTTCATTGCCACAGTCGTCTAGTAGATGGATAAGAACATAAGGAAGAGCCCTGCTGGATCAGACCAGTGGTCCATCTAATCGAGCATTCTGTCTCACACAGTGGCCAGCCAGTTCCTCCGGATGGCCAACAACAGGGCACAGAGGCCAAGACCTTCCCCTGATGTCGCCTCCTGGTTCTGGGATTCATCGTCTTAGTGCCTCTGAATGTGGAGGTTGCCGTCAGTCACCATGACTAGTAGCTATTGATAGGTTTATCTTCCATGAATCTATCTAATCCCCTTTTAAAGTTGCTTATTCCTGTGGCCATCACTACATCCTCTGGCAGCAAATTTCACACTTTAATCACTCTCTGTGTAAAGCAGTATTTCCTTTTGACCATCCTAAGCCTACTGCCTATCAGCTTCATTGGATGCCCTACAGTTCTAGTATTTTGGGAGAGGGAGAAAAATTTCTCTTTGTTAGCTTTCCAATTTCCCTACCCCATACATAACTGTATAAACCTCTATCATGTCCCCCCTTAGTCGTCTCTTTTGTAAACTGAAAAGTCCCTGACCCCTCAGGCTTTCCTCAGAGGAGGTGCTCCAACCCCTAATAATCTTGGTTGCCCTCCTTCTCACTTTTTCCAGCTCAGCAATGTCCTTTGGAGATACGGTGACCAGAACTGCACACAGTATATCAAATGAGGTCGCACCATAGATCTATACAGGGTAGTATAATATCGGACATTTTATTCTCAGTCCCTTTCCTAATAATTCCTAACACAAAGTTTGCCTTTTTCGCCACTGCAGCACACTGGGCTGACACATTTCACTGAGCTATTGACTATGACCACAAGATCTCCCCCTGCCCCCGTCTCAGCAAGTTCAGACCCCATTCGCCTATACTTGAAGTTGGGATTTTTTGTCCCAGTGTGTATCACCATACATTTACCAACTTTGGTTCTAGGTGATAAGTGGCAGTCTGTGCCATAACCACCTAGAAACTGGACCTGCTTCCCCATGAATTTGTCACTTACTGTGCAAAATAAAATTGCATATATTTGGCTATACTTTAGAGCTGCTGACTAAAAACAATCAAAATTTGAAGAGTTGGAGGCGCAGTCTTGTCGTGCTTTCTTTGAATGAATCTTTCAAGCTCATGTAACCTGACTGATGGAGAGATTAATACATTGGTAGTAATAGTGCCAAAATTGGACCTCACTTTAATGTAACCAGGATAGGTATTGGTGTAATTAGCATGAGACTTCTACATGTGTAAATTGTCCAGAAAGAATCTGACAGAGCTGAACCAGCAGCCACTGGGGCCTTACTTTGCTTTAATTTCAAATAAATTTGCAGCTAAACATTTCATCAGTGTTTGTCTACTTCTTAGCCAAGAGAGTTGTTGGTACTAATAGACATATTCCATATTTTAAAGAAATATTAGTCTTCTGAGCTATGACATGAAATTGAACTGCTGAAGTCATACAGATTGAAAAGGCATTCAGACAGCCTGAAATATGAATCACATTTGGCATGCTTAATTGATGACAAGGTATTTGGAAATACTTGTAGAAAGTTTGCTTTGGTATATATTTCTGCATTCAGAAATACCAAGAATTAATATAGGAATCAGGGAGTTACCTTTCCTTGTAGATTAACCTAATTTGTTCAGTTTTATACTGATACTGCTTGTGACTTGCCACAATGAGGCAGATGGCTGTCAATTTCACTTCAAAAACTAGGCAAGTCTCCCAAAAAGTGAAAACCTTTGAGAAAGGCTATAATGTAATTATATAATGTATAGCGCCCCTTCTTTTTGACCATTCTGTATTTTAGATATACACATCCATCTTAGATATATGTATTACGGTCCCAGGGAAAAATCACACAAGATGCAACTATTGCATATAGTATTAGTAAGCATTAACTTGTCCTGCTGCAGCTAGCGAAAGATGATGTTTTGTATTCTGTTTATAATGCTTCTTAACACTGGTGTATTTACTGTTGTAACAGAGAGCACTTTCTTTACTCTGAATAGTTGGGGGGATATCCATAGCAGGCACCTTAAAGATAATGAGATGTGGTGATATTTACTCAGGGCTGTATGGCATGAGAAACACAGAACAACAGTTGAAGTAAAGAAAGTAACGGTGTGGTGTGTTTATATGGTTTTTGTAGTATCCTTTGAACTAGAGAGGCCTTTTATTTCTGTTATTTAAAATGTACAAATTTATTAGAACTAATTTTGTAGAAAATGAAAAGTTGGAGATTAGCATTTAAGGTTCATTCTATGACAGGTTGTTGTTGAGTAGACTAGAATAAGTTAGTAGCTATTTAATCAATAATACTTTAAAGTTATTAAGTAGTATATATACTGAAGAATCCTAGATGAAAAATGTAATATCTATAGATGTTTCTAATATGTTCATTTATATTTTGGGAGTAAGCATTATTTTGTGGATTATTCTACTATTTTTCTAATCCACTAAAAATAAACCAGCTGATTAATTACATGCTTAAAATGATCAGAACTACCAGTCAGCAAAGGCCAATTTTAATTGATGAAGCTATGAATTAAGATCATGTTTCATTTTTGGATTTATTTGGGGGCTGTTTTGGATTTGTTCTGTTGTTGTATGGTAAACATGACATATCTCACAATAATTCAGGTTTTGCTTATTAAATGGAAAGTTCCTATATAGATTTCCCCCCCTCAGTGTTCAAGGTAGTCTACAAAAATGCATATACTTAAAAGCATGTAAATACTTAAAAATCACATACATATACATATAGTAACTGATTAACTAACAGCAGATGAAATCACTGAAGCCTATAACTGTTACCCCCTTAAAGCCACCTGTATCCCTGTTATTCCTTTGTTTTCTCAAAAAGACGCCTGTATCAAGGATTTGGAAATGCAGATATGTTTTCATAGAATCACAGAGTTGGAAGGGACCATACAGGCCATTTAGTCCAACCCCCTGCTCAATGCAGGAGCAGCCTAGAGCATCCCTGACAAGCATTTGTCTAGGGTTGCTGGTACAATGTGGATCATTTTATATACTTGTCAGTTTTCAGACTCCTGCAATGTGGTGCCCTCTATACTGTGAGCCATTTTAAACATGGAGATTTCACTGCAGGGAACAGCTCTGCAGACTGCTTGCTGTCTGTGCTTTAAGAAAACATCTGTTTTTGTTACTCAGAGTTACATTGGTAGTGTTTTTTTTAAATGAATGCATTACTTCTGATGCCACATTGTCCAATTTACAGTTAAGAGGCTTATCAGCCAAGAAATTACAATAAGTGCTGTTTCAGTGGTTCATGTTAGCTGCACTGGTGTAGAACAAAAGGGAAGGGTCCAAATAAACTACATCTTTATGCAGTTCACAGGGTTTTTGTTTTTTTGCAATTCCACCATTGATAACAAGCAATAACTTTTTGAGAGTGCAATTTTAGAAAATGTATTTCTAAATGTAGATGTTCTAAAAGCATCCAAACCCTTGGATATACTGTATATTCATTTATGAAATTTGTGAAAATGCTCTCTAAACGCACCCACAAGGTAGTGTTGTGCTACTTTGAAGCAAGGAATAGGATGGAGATGATGAGCCGTTCTTGTCTGTTGTTAGGGAAGTTGGCAATCGTAGTTTTCATCATTTGCGAATAAGCATTTTGTCCTGTGGTGGTATTAAGACCAAAGGGCACAGGTTTAATTCAAGACACAGCCACGCAAACAGAAAATAAAATTCCACATTTACCCCCCTGCGTTTTTTTCAGAAGCTCTGATGGTGGAAAGACAGTTGGCACTATAGACGTCAGCCTTGTGAAGATGGGGCAGACAGAGGATGGGGAGTCAGATCACAATGCAGCAGATGTGCAGGGACAAAAGGTAGGAACCTGGCTCAGTGCACAAATTAAATTAGGATGATCAGAAATGCCAGATGCCTATATTACTATAGTCACGGTGGGATCTAAGTTTGCATTTAAAAAAATAAGAATTAGCCCTCTGTAGAATAAAGTACAACGTGCATGCTCAGCTCTCTAATCTAAAAATATATATATCCAGGGATAAAAGATAATTCTGTTGCATTTAATTTGTGTTTTGCCAGAAATAAAGTATTAATTTTACCATCAAGTGTCCTTTCCTCAGAACTGTCTATGTGGACACCTGCCCTGTGTCCCCTCTCCCCAAGTCCTATTCAGTTTTGAAAGGGAACTTTGAATATCACTTTTCAAAGGAAGGATTATAGATTAGCATCTAATTGATACGTATTCATCTGAAAGTATAAGTTCAGATGTATTGATTTCAACCTGGAAAAGCTGTGTGTTGCATATGGGGGGGGCGGGAGGAAGCGTATGGCACAGAAACAGCAGCCCTAATAGCCTGGGCTAGCCTGATCTGTCAGAACTTGGAAGCTAAGCAGGGTCAGTACTTGTATGGGAGACCACCAAGGAAGAGGAAGGCAGTGGCAAGCCACCTTTGCTCATCTGTTGTCTTGGGTCACCATGAGTTGGTTGCGACTTGACAGCACACTATACCTTTACGGCACTGAAACAGCCAAGCCTGAAGATCCCACTCTGTGCAGTGGGCCTTAACTTGCTTCAATATGTGTTCCATTTTTAAAAGTGGCATTTCTACACACTGCCCCAGTGCTTGTATTTCATTATATGAAAAGTTGGAGAAAGGATCAAACTGATTTTGCCCGAGAGATTTTTTTTTCGTGATGGTCATGTTGCCAGAGTGATAAGTTGCTCAGTTCACATTTGCAACAGCAATTCCATGTGGCAGAGGGTAATCCTTTTTTTATCCTTTAGCCATGCTTTCTCTTTCACACCAGATGTAGATGGCACACACATACACACACCTGCTGCTGTCATGCGGTTGCCCACATTTTTTAAAAATGGGGTGTATGCATAGCTCTGCTCAAGAATAATACAGTACTACACCGTTAAAAAAACCCTGTGCATTTGGGTAGTGCTCCTGAGGAACACAATACTTGATTCCCGGAGTCATGCTAATTACTTGAAAGGTACTGGGTATCCCATAGTGGTCATCTACATCAAATAGACTAATTGGTCTCCTACTGCTTGGGGGAAGGGGAGGAGAGCACTTCAAGAACTTTTCAAATGCTAATCAAGAGAGCAGAGAAAAAACACTTGCCCCTTGCATTGTCTTAATATATTAACAACTTTATAAAATTGCCTTGTCCCCCTTCCCATTTAAAAAAAATCTCAATTTTGTTGGTGTCAGCAAGGATACCCAAACAGCTCATACTGAAAATGCAGAGGAAGGGGGAAAAGGGCTGTTCGGTTTAACAGAAGGAGTAGCTTGCCTTCTGGACATGTGAAAAGGATCATCCCAACAATGTTGTGCCAGGAAAGATAGGTTTTCTTCAGTTTTTTTTTTAAAAAGCAGAGAAAATAACAGGTTGTTTGTGATTTGAACAGGAATGAAGGATGTCATGTGTTTGGGAGAAATAAAACATGTTACTTGATTTTTAAAAAGTCTCCATGATTGATTGTATAGTAAGAACTTTACAGAGAAGCATTCTATCTCTTTCGCACACACAAACTCACAAATGAATTATTAGCTCCCATCTTCCTAGTGTTCCTGGCTTGAAACAACAGAATGTGAGACACATATATAGGTAGAAGTGTTACACTTTTAAGTTGCTTGAACAGTTTGTTAAAGGAAATCACAGCATAAAGCCCAACATGTTGATGTACAGGATATATGTTCACTACATAAGATAAGCTACTTTTTTGTGTCACGGACATTTCAATATTTGAATAAAAAAGAGAATGGGAAGTATGGAATGGAAATTAACCTTCTTCCCCCCCCCCCAAAAAAAAATAATTGTGCACAAATGAAATACCACTGTTTTTACAGTGCACTATTGTAGCCTTTCTCATTAGAAGGCTCTACTTTAGCTGCTTTGAATCAGGGCGGATTTCTGGCTCCCCTCATACACCTTGTGTGGGACTCCTTCTTGCAACCCTATCTACCTCTTCCCTGCTCATGATGACAGCAGTATTCTTCTACCTGGTCACTGCCTACCCTGGATGAGGCAGAGAAACTGTGTTGCCACTTAAGGGCAGAGGCCATGCAGCTAGCAGACCTGCTTATCCACCCATCCTTTTCATATCCCTGTTCATGAGAGGACAGGGTGACCAGGTCTACCGCTATCAGGGCTTTTTGTGTGTGGGAGAGATGTTAGAACTCTCAAGAGGGAAATGAAGTTTTCAGTCTGTATACTGAAAACGCATGAAGTTTTAAACATTTTTAAAAGAATGTTGTCAAAGAGGTTACGGAACTCCATTCTGGCACGTTCCCCCAGGGAAAAAAACCCTGACTGCTATAGTGAGGGATCTCACACCCCTGGCCCCACCTCTCCCTTTGCTGCTCGGTGAAGGAGTGGGAGCAAATTTGGGGGAAGAACAGGTATTGTGCAGATGCTGTGGCATCACTTCTGGCATGAACCTGGAAGTGATATCACTACATAAGGCAATGCTCTAGGATTCATCCAAAACTCTATGGTAAAACCATAGTGCAGTGCTGCATTTGTTATTTCCCACCCCCAGTCTCCCCCCAGTTACCAGCATTCAGCTGGCAAGCCTATGAGAGGAGGAGACATGACAGAATTGGAAACTGTATCCTTGGTGCTTTCAGGCAATGGAGGCATTGGGCCCTCAGCAGCTGCCCAGGCCTGCTCTGATTTCTCCTGAGTTTGGTTTGTGTGGGGCAGATGGGTAACATCAGTTCAGAAAATAGTTTGCAATAACTATCTGCTAGATATTGCATGTAAAGTTTCCTATGCTCCGGTGTTTCTTATTTAATGTAACAGAACAAATATTATCACTTACTGATGAAACTGATTACCGTGATATGCTGAAGAAATCAAGGAAAGTTTGTATATACCAATATACTTTTAAAGTACTAGTTATGCACCTCTTTTATGATTCTGTTAGATTTCATATGGTGAATCTCCCTTCACATTCAAAATCTTTAACTTTTGTTTTACAGTGTGCCTTGGTTTATGAGTGTACATCTCCTGAAAGCAACAGTAGTAAAGACAATTTACCTTTATTAAATGCAGGTATGTGTTCTATATCTGTAATGATGGCAGTGATTAAAGGTTAAAGTTGTACTGTATTTAATTAATTAGTGGAAGAGCCAGTACCATGCTGTTATGATTTCTAACAAGAATCTATCTACATTAATGAATGATTGACCAGAATGGCAAAACTAGACTATACCCCATCCCCAAGTCCACCATTTTAAAGGTTTTTTAAAAAACTTTTCAAAATCCCATGGGGCCCCAATCCTGCTGGCAACAATAGCACCAGGGATGAGGGGCTTCTGTCCCCTCCCAACACACCATTCTCAAGAGCTCATAAAATCCTTGTGGTGAACTTGAGGAAATTGGTTCATCTGATTTGACCTTTATGTAACCAACCTGCATTATGTTGCTTAGCTGTCTCTTACTGAATCATTGTCCCGCTTGGAAATGTATTAATTCTGACAATATTTGATAAATTAAGATTTGTTATAGCAGTGCAGATCCCTTATGTAATTTGTGCTTTATCTGGATGATCAGATACTTCCATTTCTCACTGATGATGCTTTGCCTATAATCTGTATTATAGTCATACTAGGAAAAAGGCCCGTTGTGGAAATAAATACAACAGCCTCTAGAAAGAGGCTCTGGGCGGGTGCCCCAGCCTTGGACACTCAGTGTCATTTTGCTGTGGCGACCCCAGCAGGGTATAATGACACTGAGTCCACCATTTTCTCCAGAGGAACTGATCTCTGCTACCTAAAGAACAGTTGTAATTCTGAGTGCTCTCCAGCCCTCACCTGGAGATTGGCAATGATGGTTCCCCAGAAGGGAATGGTTGGTTTGGAGGGTGGAGTCTATGGCTTTGTACCTGTCCGAGGTCCCACGCCTCCTGAAACCTCACCCTCTTCAGGCTCCATCCCTCACATCTCCAGGAATTTCCCACCTGGAGTTGGCAACCCTATCTCCTTCCCAGCCAATCATCAACCTACCTTTATTTCCCCCTCACTCTTCAGCTTTCCACCCCCCACACACCTGCAGCCTCTCCCATGCTCTGAAGCCCTGACTGCTACGTCACATTGGCTGTCATATGGGGGCTACCTCAGCAGTATATAAGGATACAGAGCCCACCATTTTTTCCAGGGGAACTGATCTCTGCCATCTGGAAAGCAGTTGTAATTCTGAGGGATCTCCAGCCCTCACCTGGAGATGGACACATTTTACCTCAGGACAGCAAGCTGTTTAGAATGTTAGAGGCAAAAGCCAATCAAGTCACATATGCCAATGACCTCTGTGTTCCGAGGCAAAGGCCAATGAGGCTGCATATGCAAATAACCTCTGTGTTCTGACTGGCTATGGGGGGGGGAGGAACAGCAAAATGTTTAGAATGTTGGAGGCAGGACTCAGGCAAAGCAGCCAGTGGATAGGGAGACCCTCTGAATGACAGATCAAAGAGCGAACTGATTTTTGAGTGTGTGGAATTTTCTAGAGAAGTGCCACCACCATTCAGCTTTTATTTATAAGAGAGATGATCAGGCATGGATTTCTAAAGAGGATATGTACATGTTTGCTCTCTCACAGTTTTATGATATTTGTACTCTGTATTTCAATACCTTGAGTTTGTTTATTGCATTCTTGCAGTGCTAGAAAAAGAACAGGGGGGATCCCCCCTGTGAATGATAAAATCTCTAAAGCTAGAGACCTATTGGCATTCAGCTTGAATATTCTTCTTAATATATGGAGCTCAAGTCCCAAGTGAGTTATGAAGTACTTTGAGTGAGTAGGAATGAAGAATGAATGGCTAATTGATAGATGTTCATCACTGTTCCATTTTTATCTCAAGAGATTTGAGGTTTATTGCTATTCATATATCAATTGGAACCTTAAAATTAAAATAATTTCTCTTCTCTACAAGTGTTTTATTAAAAGGTGATCTTTTTCCAGGAAGGTTCCAGGAAGTTCTGTGGCCACATTAAAGGAAATGAAGGCCCTCTGCTTGTCTGTATTTTGCCCCGTTTCTGCTCATTCCCAGAAGACTGTTGTCTCTGTTATTCCTCACCAGAAAGCTTTATACATCAAATACATGCAGTAGACACAGTGAACCCAGACACTGATGCAGATCACAGTAGTTCCAGATTACCTTTTTCTATACAAAGTCATCACATAAAGCAAGCACACTGAAGCTAAAGATGGGCAACACTTTCACACAGTTAAAAGTGCTTAGATAAAAGCCTTGCTTCCTATGGTTTGTATACCTAGTATCTCTGCCCCCACTGTGGCTTCCTTGATTGAGTCAATCCATCTCATGTTGGGTCTTCCTCTTTTCCTTCTGCCTTCACCTTTTCCTAGCATCATTGTCTTTTCCAGTGACTCTTGTCTTCTCATCATGTGACCAAAGTACGATGGCCTCAGTTTAGTTATTTGCGTTTCTAAGGAGAGTTCAAGCTTGATTTGACCTATAAACCACTTCTTTGTCTTTTTGGTGCCCCATGGTATCCATAAAACTCTTCTCTGACGCCACATTTCAACTTTCTTCCTATCAGCTGTCTTCATTGTCCAGCTTTCACAGCCATACATACTAATGAGAAAATACCATGGCTTGTATTAACTTGGTCACCAGCAAAAAATCCTTATACTTAAGAATCTTTTCAAGCTCCTTCATGGCTGCCCTTCTCAGTCTCAATCGCCTTCTGATTTCTTGGTTGCAGTTTCCCTTGTGATTGGTGATGAAGCCAAGGAATAGAAAATCTTGAACAATTTGATACATTGCAAAATGTTGCTCTTATAGAACATGAGGGGTTCTGAAGTCTCT